GTATTTTCAAAGACGCCGCAGTAAAACGAATAAACAGGTGCAAAAAACAATCAAACCATCAAGGTTTTAGGTACTGAAATCTACGAAAATACTAACTTTTTTATATATAATTCCACATGTAAATATTCTTATAACATTTACTTGCTTAGTCCTACATATAAAATTGTTTACTTTTATTTATAAGTACGGTTAGAATAACAGCAAACGCGTGTTTTACAAATGCTTTTTTTTACTTATTATTTTATTTGAGTAAATTTAAATGGTAACAATGAATAAACAAAACATCAAGGATTTTATTTTTGTGCTTACTTTTATTCTACACGTTTTACTTTTAAAGATTTTAGTACCTAAAAACGCCAGAAATTTCACTATTTCTCGGCCAGGAATATGGCCACCTTAAATACAACAATTACTTCCGAGGTATTTAAAAAAAAATTAAAAATAAAATTTTGATTTTGACATCCTGTATTCGATTACTATCCACTTTTGGACTAAGGTAAGTTTGGACAGATCACTTTATTATCACAAATCTCCTGTTATTCTTCTCATTATGGTACACCCTGTATATTTATGAAAAATTGTTAATTTTAATAGAGTTTGAAGAGCCAAATATTGCTGTTTACTTAATCCCGTTTATTCCGGCTTAGTCTTATTATAATTAAAAATAACAAAACTCGAACGAGCAGAGCGTGTTCATTTTTGCTGTGTTTAATATTTATAAATTTATTTCACAGGTTAGATATACGCGCGCCGACGACAGTCTCTATTTTGCGGATAGCTCACTGGATGTTTTCCGTAAGTACATCAATTGTTTGTAAATCGTTGAAGAAACCATGGTCCTTAATATTTCCTCATAAAAAAGCCCAACAGCATCCAGTGGCAGTTATCCAATATCATTTTGCAATACAGCATATTTTCTAGCGTTCAAACGTAATACAATCCATTTGATTTGAAATATCCAATTCTACCAGATGATGAAATAACACGCATTTCAAAAATAAACGAACGGGTAATCCACTCTTTATTTTTACCACCATCTGCAACTAAATTTATGGTGTAAATATTTATATATTTAGGCATTTGAAAGATGTCCTCCATCGATGTGATAGAGCCATGATTTATGTCTTCATAGCGGGTTCATATTTTCCATGGCTAACACTGGAACCATTGCCTAATGAAAGTTGGGCTCATCAAATGAGATGGGTAGTATGGATTCTTGCAATACTTGGTATAATGTATCAGCAAATATTCCATGAAAAGTATAAAAGCTTGGAAACTATGTTTTATCTTGTCATGGGATTTGGACCCGTGCTCCCAATATTAAGTGAGGTAAGTGAGTTTTTTTTTATGAATATTGAACCCTCTATTACGAACTCCAAATTTAATCGTCTACCGTGACATAAAAAGAGACTGTAATTTATTATTTAATCAAATCTTTTTATTTTTGACCACTTTTCTTAGCCAACACTTTAAAACAAAAGAACTTTTCTGTAGAATTAGGTTTTTGCACTTACCTGTTTATTATCATAGAACTTTTCTAAATTTTCTAGTGCCGTAATAATAACTAAACGTAATTACTAAAGAAATTAACAGTGGCATCAACTTTTCTTTACATTACTGTATAAAATATTGACTGTAAAATTTTTATCATAGATGACATTTAATTTAAGATTTGTCTAAAATTTAGAGATTTCTAAGAACCGTTAAAGGAATACTAAATGATATATGACATATCAGGGGATATTATCTACTTTTTACTAAAGTTTTGTATCTGTGTTAATATTTTCTGACCACGGTAATTCAAATAATAGAATAGAATATTTATTGGTCTACATTAATACATAACATCACACAATCATAAAAACAACAATTAGGAAAATACAAACAAAGCACAAGACTAATTAAAATACACAGTGGCCTAACAATAAAAATTACTTTATAACATAATAAACGTCAGAGTGAAAGCAACCACTAAAAGTCATGAACACTATCCATAAAGTCACTAACAGAATAAAAACATTTTGACAACAAATAATTCTTTATACACAATTTAAATTTGATAAAACATAGTGATTTTACATGAGATGGGAGGACATTGTACATGTTTAAATTTAAGGAATTTGTCGCAATCAGTGCTAAGCGATATCTAGGTAGCCGCAATAATTTAGAAGTACGAGTACAGTAATTATGTATATCTGATTGAACCGTGTAACTGGCAATATTCTTATGAATATCCAATAAACAGTAATAAACAAATAGAAATGGCAAGGGCATAATTACAAGATTCACAAAAAGTTGGCGACAGTGATCTCTATAACCTACGTTGGATACGAATAGCTTTTTTGGATATTAAAGGTTTTTAAAGCGATAGAGCAGCCCCCCCCCCCATAGCACAATACCATAAGACAAGATGGAATTAAAAGGGAAAAATAAACTGATCTTAAAGTATTAGTGCTAATCACATCTCTCAGTTGCCTTAACAAAAAAACTACTCCAGACAACCTCTTATTCATGGATTCAACATGGTCAGACCAAGTCAATTTATCATCAATTGTAATACCAAGGATTTTAAAATATTTATGTTCTACATGCCCCGGAGTAGTGGTAAATGTTATATTCTGGGATTTATCTCTATTAATTTTAAGATTGTTTAACGAAAACAGATTTATGACTTTAGATACTATGTTATGTGAATCTTCAGTTAGACATGGGAATCTTTATTCAAATGCGGCCTGCTTAATAATAATATATGCCGCCTCCTCTCCCGCACAAGTCTCTGACTTCTGGGCCAATTATCGTAGTTAGAATGAGGAGTAGAGATATTATTATTATTAATTAGGGTGGTGTCATCTGCGAATAGTACACACTTATTAGGTGCGATAGCAAAGCAAAAGTCAGTATTTTTTAAGCTTGTGGAAGATGTGACTGAATTTCTTTTTATATATGGTTTATTATATTTCACAAAAATACCAGGACAAGCCGTTAACTTTCTTTGGGGGGAAATAATGAGACTTTCCTTGTGCACATTTTTTGTGTAATTTTAATTAAAAAATCAAACTGCAATTGTTGACTATTCTACTTTTTTACGTGTGTCTATGATTCAAATACATCGTTTCTTAATTAAGTGTCTCATTTGTCTTTTTCATTATTTTTACATTTTGTTTTAGAATTTAGTCTATAAAATATTGTAACATTAGATATATAATATCGAGCGCTCTAATGTTGATTTCTCTTAACTGACAAATTAAGTTTTACAAAAAAGTCCTTAGCATTGTAATTTGTTATTCAGATTTTTATTTTATTTTATTATTCATTTGCTTTCCTGGTGTCAGTTTAATAATGGGGTGTTTGTCAGTTTTTTGGGATATCAACAAAAAATGGAATAATATGACAAAAAACTTGCTCTGTATTGATTTATTTTTGTATGCAATCATTATTTAACTGGAAATTAAAATATATATATGTATATTAGGGTGGCCCAAAAGAAACGATTATTTTTTTTCTTGTCTCTTGTGAAAATGTGTTAGTTTATCATGTTTTAAGAGCCCCCTCAAAAAATTAGGTCAAACAAATTTTTTTTAGAGGTCGCTCAAGATTTTTAAAAATTTCCAAAATCGTCAAAAATTGAATTAAAAAAAATTTTTTTTTTCGTTTTTTTATCATTTTCTACGTTGAAAAAAATTTCGATTCTGAAAATTTCAAATCGATATTTTAATTTCTAAAGGTCATTTAAAATACATGCATCTAGAGACGTACTAAGATTAGTGAGAGGCAAGGGGAACTCACGGTAAAAAAGACACTGATGGCGAGAGGCAAGGGGACATCACGGTAAAAAAGCCACCCCAAAGAGGTGTTGGACCGATTTTCCAACCTCCACGTGGTACACCTTGGGTAATGCAAATGCAAATAACAAAAAATATCAAATAACATTTTTACCCCTTCGAACACAGACAGACAGAACAAGAGTTATTGCTCTAAAGTCAACGTAACTCGAAAACTATGAACTTTAGGATATTGTGCTAATGAAGTCCTTTGATCGACAGGTTAAGAGCTGTAACATATAAAAATTTCAGCTAATTTATCTGAAACCACTTTTACATACGAAAAGTGCGGGGTCCTTTTGCTTTGAGAAATTTTTCAAGTGTCTCGTGATCTATTTCTATTCTTTTGTTCATCAAATTCAATAAAAAAATATTAGTTCGTTGATATTTATTTTTAGAGGTCGCTCGAAAACATTTTAGGTACACTACTTTTAAAGTTAAAATAATTATGAGTGACCTTTAGAAATTAAAATATTGATTTGAAATTTTCACAATCGCGATTTTTTTCAAGCTAGAAAATGATAAAATAACGAGAAAAAAAATTTAAAAAAATTCAATTGTTTTGAGCTGTTTGAGGGGGCTCTTAAAACATGATAAACTAACATATTTTCACAAGAGACACGAAAAAAAAAATCTTTTTTTTTGGGCCACCCTAATGTATACAGGGTGATTCAGTCATAATGTCATTAATTTTAAGAATAGATAGAGAAAAATGAGTATAATACGATGGCGTGATTAAAAAAAATTAAATGCATAATTAACACACACATAGCACAGATAATCATATTACATTAAAACAATTGTATGATGAAATTGTTAGAAACAGAACTGAGATAAAGAATTTGATTAATGCAAGTGAGTCAAGATTAGAAGCAAAAATCAACGAGTTGAATGATACAGTCGAAAAGCTTGAAACTGAAAATCAGATTCTAAAAACTGAGTTAGAAAAAGTTAAAGTAACTGAGAAGAAAAACAACATCCTTGTATTTGGCTTATTTAAGAGAAGTGAGTCATATTCTTGTGAGCAGTTGTGTTTGAAATTAAATAAATTACTGTCGAGCTCCATAACTGAAACTGACATCAATAATTTTTTCTTCCTTGGTAAAGAAGAAAACAGTGCACTCAAAATTGAATTTGTACGTTTTCTTACTAAATTGGAAATTCTAAATAGCAAAAACAAATTGCATGGTTCTAATATTAGTATTGTTAATGACTTAACGCATGAACAATTAAAAAATCAGAAGCTACTCAGGAAGTATATGCTTCGTGCTAAACAAGACAAGAAGCATACGTATATTAAAGGTGATAAGTTGTATGTTGACAATGAAATGTATACCGTCGATGAATTGGAAAGTATAACTAACGAAGTAGTAGATACCAGTTACGAATCCTCCGGTGCTTCCTATACACCTGTTACAACCTTACCGGTATTAGTGGACAGTGACCTCGGAATTGGTGCTCTACCAAGCCATAAGGAAGATAGGCCATTGGATAGTAATGGTGCAGTCTCGAACTTTTTTGCGGGAACATCTAAAAAGCCTAATACTAGATTGCGGGATCGAAGAGGCCGTCTTAATTAATCTATTTATTTTTAAATAATTGTATGTTGTAACATATTATTGAGTATTTGGGTATAATTTAATAAACTAGTTTTAAATTTGATTTTCTACATACTTAGAATTTATTTTTGTAATGTGCCAATCACTAGTGTTTGCTCATATGAATGTTCGTTCCATATTGGGTGGCTTTGATGTACTCCGTGATTATATTGACAGAGAAAGTATTAGTATCTTTGCCGTATCGGAAACTTGCTTTATCCTGATTTTGATCCACAGCTTATTTCTATTCCTGGTTATAGCTTAGTTCATGCAGATAGAGATGGTAGAGGGGGTGGATTAGCTTATTTTATACAAAACAATATTAAGTATTCAGTAATCTTGAATGACTTTAATAACACTTTGGAGCAATTCTGGGTTAGTACAACTTTATTGGGTAGTTCTTATGTATTTGATGTTTTATACCGACCGCCGCGTTCTAATATTTTGCAGGCCTTAAACTATTTGGAAAATAGTCTTTCGCTTGTAGTACCTGCATACGACTATGTTTGCGTCGCAGGCGACTTTAATATTGACATGCTTACGTTTGGTCGTCCTACAAAGTTGTTCTGTAATATTCTGGAGTGTTTCAATCTAACTCAAATTGTTAATGAACCAACTAGAGTCACTAGTACGTCACAAACTCTCATTGATATTATTTGCATATCTGATCCAGATAATGTTTCTTCCTGTAAGGTGGTAGATTTGCCGGGGATTTCTGATCACTTTCTTACCGTATGTCAGTTGGCTAAAGTAAAAATTAAACCTATCGATAAGTATGTTACTTATAGAGATTTTAAGCACTTTAATGACCAACAGTTTTATAGTGACATAGCTGACATAAATTGGGACCATATTTACTCCTTGAATGACGTATATCTACAGGTTGATTACTTTAATTTTATGTACTGGCTGTGTTAAACAACCATGCTCCACTTAGAACAGTCAGAGTTACTAAACCTCATTGCCCTTGGTTAACTGTAACTATTAGAGATATGATAAAACTACGTGACAATGCCTTTCGCAGATATAAATTGTCCAAGACTCAAAATAACTGGACTTATTACAAGCAAATTCGCAACTATGTCACTGGTGCAATCAGGCGTGAAAAGAAAGCTTATATTCAATTTTCCGTGCGCCAAAAAAAATAGCAAAGTATTATGGAACACTTTTAGAGAGTTAACTGTTATTGAAAATAAACGATCATCTGATCTTTCATCTACATTTAATGACGTAAACTCAGTAAATTTATTTTTTAATACTATCCCTAGTGTCAATAAAACCCAAGTTTGCATTGATATGTTGTCAAAATATGATCGTCCATTAAACGTAGTGAATGATTTTAAGTTTTCCCCAGTCCAACCCCTTGAAGTTGTTAAAGTAATTAATAAATTAAAAAGCAATTCTGTCGGCTCAGATCAGATTTCGTTAAGAATAATTAGAATGATTTCATTTCATCTTCTACATCATATAACCTATATCTTAAATACTGCATTGCAACCCTTCATTGTTGTGTGTCATATGGACAGCTAATTTCAGGAAACGGATTCTGCCAGGTTTCGGATTTCACTTGGGATCATTTATTGTTAGCATTTTGTTGATTAGTAGTATTATTGATGTTTTTTATTAACGTATAATTAGTATTTCTTGATTTTGTTCTTTATTATGTAATGTTTTTTTGTTTTTATTATGTAATTTTTGTTATAGCTACAATTATTGTATAAATTTAAATTAATTTAAGGTTAAGTTGAAAAGCAGCCTTTGGCTGATACTTCACCTTTTCATTGTACACTTCACTGGCAATGAATAAAGACCATTTATTATTATTATTAAGGCTAGATTTTATTCGAAGGAACTACCTTAATTTCAAGGAGTTCATGAAATAAATTCATTTTTTGTTTAGCTCCCGAACTGGATTGTATGTATACGCTTATCAGTGTTCCTTTTTTAAACAAACTGCATGAAACTAATGGAGTGGCAGAGCGGAACTATAATGGAAAATAATTTCGTAAAAACAGATTGCTTTTGTAATACTGCGATATGTTACTAGTCTCCATATTTTTTTATATCAGTGCATACAAAGCAGCTAACATAGAAGTTTTGGAATGTTTAAAAAAAAATTGCATTCTTTGTACGATGTAAATATTAACTTATATTGGTACGTGGGTAAGCATATTTTGCTAATTGTTAGTAAATCTAGTTTGTTTTAAAAAAATTATTTTTTCTGCTTTATACTAATTTGATATAATTTGAAATATTTTTAAAATCAATTCAAGTTTTTAATAAAGTATTTACTATTTTCTTAAAGCACTGTGACCCTCTGACACCGAACTAGTTTAAGTGAACTACATAACAATCCACCTGATGTGATACGACAACACAGTGCTAGAATGGCAAAAAGCTATTGACCAACATTAACTGAACCAAAAATGAATGGTCCAATGTCATTGCTTGATCTTGTTATATTTATTTTAGTTCAGTTTTTACTACGCAATTTGAAAAAATAGACTTATGTGTTTCTAAAGTCCAAATGTAATCTCCATATAAATATTACTCCCATTCAAAGTTATTCCCTATAAAATAATCATTTTGAAAATGAAAACAAAGCAGTTTTTAAGAGCAAACAAGTGATAGTGAAGGTTTTCCAAAGGAAACCTTATTTAATCAACACAGTAACCATAGAAATTTACCTTAAAGCTGTTCTTGATATCGGTGGGATGATTACAGAAACATGGCAATAAATTCCATAACTGCAAATATAATAACTCTGAACTGTGGGCCCCAATACCATCATTCGATTCGGCCAACTGAACAGATCTCCGATGACAGTAAAGCGCTAATGGCAATATCCCTTTAACGAAATACTCCAATGTAGATATTTTTATATTTTCTTTTAGTACAGGTAAGAGCCAAGATCTATCTATATTCAAGTCTCCATTGTCTTTCTAAAAAGTAAAAGGTAGATAATTTTTATCACAGATCATTTCATTTTTTTACCTTTAGTGAAACAACATTTAACACAATCTCAGGACCCATTGACCGGATTGCAGCTCCTATAGCATGTTCCAATTCGTTGTTGTAACTAAANGTTGGATAGATGAGCGGCGGATGCGATGGAATAAACCAGGGTTGTTACGTATTTCTTCAGCGGCATCTTCGATACAATTCCGCAACTGCTCTACATTCTCTACCTCGGTGTGATACACGACAGATTTCATATAACCCCATATACAAAAGTCCATAGGATTATGTGCCCTCATCTCCCTATCCACCGATTGGGACATTGATCGTCTAAAAATCTACGGACATCGCGAGCAAAATGGGCCGGAGCTCCGTCGTGCATATACCACATATCCCGTAGCATCTGAAAGGGAAGGTTTCCAAACAATTCTACTAAAAATTGAAAGTAACGCGGTCCATTCAGATGTTAAGGTAGAAAATGCGGCCCAATTAAACGATCGCCATATACTCCTACCCATACATTGACACCGAATCTCCTCTGAAAGCTGACCAAATGTGACTATTATGGCCGCAAAGAAATTAGCTCTGTTTCATTTTAAATAAAATTTAATATTGAAGTTACAAAACTCCATGAGTTCAAGTAATTTAAATTTCATTTCATTACCATTTCAATTTCATTACAGAAATAATTAGTAATAATAACATAAAGAACCAATACTCACTAGATAAATTATAAAGAGAGGGTGAAATGTATGTAGTATTTAAATATTGACTGTAAGTAATAGAAGATAAAAAACAATCAGACGGGGACAAATAAATAACTTGGTACGTGTTTCCGACCTAGGCTAACCTGTATCTAGGTCAATAATCTTCTATCTGACCTCTGACCCATTTTTGATTTGCACGTGTACTTTAGTCTTGGAGCCAGATAGGGTGCCGTGGCCAACGGGAGTGCCACGGCTGCAAACAACTTATTCGTAGTATTTTGAGCTCCTGAATCCAAAAATTTGGTCGCAAAGCCTGAAAGTGGTCAGTTTAATTGTTATCAACAAATTAAATGTTTAAATGGCTGTAAAAAGTTTATTTTTATAGCTAGTAAACGGAACCCTATCTGGCTCCTAGACTAATACGAACTGTAGTAGGATTCCATGTAAAGTAGAGCAAAAAGTTGTCGGTCTTTTATCAAAGGAAAATTGAATGTAATGAATAGGGATGATTGTTTTCGAATGTACGGTTATTACAATTGTATCATTTTTAATATTATTAACGTTTTAACGTTTTATAATTTATTATGTTAAATAATACAGTTTTAGTGTTTCAATTTATTATTCCATATGCAGTTGCGTATAACCAAAGTTTACATAATAAATGTAAACTTTAGTATAAATATAAACTTTGGTGTAACCTAGGTAGGTACTTATTGTTTTTGAGAAAGTAATATGTTTTTTACCTGTTTAAAATGCCAGCACGAGTAAAACAGCATTCATCGGTCCAGCGCACTTTGTTTTAAAAATAAAAATAAAGTTAGGGTCTGCCGCACTTCGATTTAGGAACCAACTGCAAAATTCAAGACGATTGGGGAAATCAGCTGGATCTTGAACTTTTTGAAAATGGTACGGGTTGAGTGAATTCTCGCGCAATATCCGTCAAACTTTGGTTTGTGATATCTCCAGTCGCCTTGAAATTGTTCTTGTGGAAATAGTAGGCTGCTCCTCAACTAAATTTAAAACAGCCTCTATCAAATTTAAGTCATTTTGTCGCTGTCCTGCACGTTCGCTGCGCGGTATGGTATGATAGATGCAGTTGGAAAAATGCGAGAGATATGGAAGGTGGTAGATTTGAATAAACGCTTTAAATTGTTAATGGTATTGTAACCATGTGTAGCGTATTTTGTATATTCGGGTATTTAGTAGTGTGCCGACTTTTTTTATTTGATAAAATACGGTGTGCCTAAAAACAACTACCTCTGCTTTATTGATTTTCATTTAACGAAAGTTGACTTCCAGGCAATTTAATAATTTTAAAATCTTTTAATTATTCATTCCTTTCCACTTGTTAAAAATTCTTTCCATTTTACACCAATGAAACGTATTTATCGGCTTAAAAATTTCCAAGAATTTACTGCGTACATTATTTACATACCGAATTATCATTGTAGAAGCCCAGCGTGAGTTATAATAACTCACTATAAAAAACTCACGCTACTTCTTTATTGATACTATTAATTGCTCAAAAGCAGTTGAATAATTAATATATAAATTAATAGGAGTAGATAAAATAATAAATATTAAGATTTTTCAGAAATATTGCTATATCTTAAAAACTAACAATTTTAGATATAGAACATGCTTAATAAAAGTGGACCGATATGTGAATAAAATAGATAATGTTCTATTTGAAAAATTTTAGAAAATCAAGTTTAAACTTTCTAAAAATGATCATATTATAAAAAATGCCTGTATAAAATATCAATATTAGCTAATATAGGAGTCTTTGCCTAACATTTGCCTATAACTCTATCAAATATTTTTGCTCCAAGTGTTAGTAGTTGAAAGTTAATATAACTTCTTCAAGGTCATGTTTTTTCCAATATTCGAATAATTTTCTACATAACTTGGCAACCCCGCACTAAAATGATAAACTGTTTATATTGTCGTATGTAGAATTTTCTCAGAAATCCATGTTTAAAAATATACAGGGTGTTCCATTTAAAAGATGTAGTATTTGGCGTGTCCCGTTTTTACTGATCACCCTGTATGTATCAAATTAAGTTTGTAAGTGTTTTAGGTTTCTTGACTCTGTATAATTTTTATATAAACTTTTTTCTGAGTTTTGAGTAAGAAGGGAGTTATTTTGGCCCACCCTATTAAAATTTTTGAAAACCGCAACACCCCCTTTCTCTCATGAAAATAAATTAGAATAATTTAATTTAGATATGATAAAATTAATCAAAAAAATCATTAACTCAGACATCATTCACACGGCAAAATCGGTAAGAAGAACGATAAGAAGGATAAGAAAGAAAATGAAAGAAAAAGAAAAAAATGTCAATTCAGGATTATCAATTATTGTTAAATTCGGGGTTATGTCTAACTCAGTGTTAAGTGTCCAAAATTGAAATGTAGTTTGCTTAAACAAAATTTTATCCGATAATGAAATATAGAAAATCTTATTCTAGATCTTCACCCCTGTCCGATTTCACATCCTTAGTATGCCATTTGCCAAGATTCTTATGATCTTTATCCTCTCCTCTAACTCATAGACATTATCTCTAATTTCTTTTTAATTCTATGTGGGCCAGAATATTTTCTATCTAACTTTGCACTATAGTTTTTAGTTGCATCTGATAAATTCTATTATTTTTTCCAAACAACCTACATTATACTGAACAGGTCTATGTATGGGATTATACTGATGTTTACTTTTCAGATGATTAGCTTGTAATTTCCTTTTTAACAAAATTACATAATTCAATTATTTTCTGTATTTTATGTGAGATGTCAGTTTTATCAGTTATATTTTCTTTATCCCTTTGTAACATTTCATATTTATTTTTGTTTATTCTGTACTGATCCGAGGTTTCCATTTCTTTTCAGATTTATATTGACAATAGATTTTACATTTAGTTACATATTTATAAGTATCCAATTTTAACTTTGGCCAATAAAATCTAGATAATATTCTGTGATAAGTTTTAAAAATCCCTAAGTGACCATATTTTGGATCATCGTGACAATTACATAAAATTTTATAACGTTTCGGCTTTGGGACAACTAATTTCCAATTATCTATATTCTCGTTACATTGATTATCTGATGTAATATTTGTACAACTTACCATCCTATTTACACGCCAAGTCAGAAAGTTCAAGGGATTGTCATTAACACGTTGGCACATTTTTTCATATCACGAAATCATGTTTAAGTTCATCAAAGGTAATTTCAGATAACTCGGGTACAGCTCTTGATAAACAATCAGGTACGACATGATCTTTTCCTCGTCTATGTATAATTTTAAAGTTATATTATTGCATCTTTAATGCCCATCGACCTAAGCGACCTTTTGGATTTTTTAGATTAGAAAGCCATAAAAGACTATTAGTCCAGTTGGTAGAGGTTCGGCCTGTGTCAAACCTTGATAACCCGGAAATAACTACCCAGGTCTACTTTAAATGATGAGTACAATAACAGGCTAATTTTCTAACAAAGTATTTCAGAGTTATTAACAATTTAATCATGAAAAAAATTGTTTTAATAGTTTTCTTTAAATAACAGCGGGATGACTTTGTACGAAAAAATGCTTAGGACATGATTTTATTCGTAATAAAAATAAATACAAAATGGCGGTGGTCCGATTACGAAATTTGCAATAACAAAGCCGTGAGATTGAAAAAACGGTAAAAAACGTCAATTTTTTTAAGTTGCTGTAAAAATGTCAATTATAAACAAAAAGTGATCAAACTTTCGAAAACTATAGTTCAATATATATAAACAATGACGCTAAAGCCGAAAATCAGAAGAGCAAAACTTTTTGTTCTATAAGGCGTTATACATTCATCGGCATCTGAAACTCGAAACTTTGCCAAATTTGTTCGAAGCTTTGCTGACACTTGAAATTTGGTACACACATAG